CGCATAATGATGAGATCATAGATCCACTATCTTTGCCTTTGACCAATGCTACAATATAACATATCTTTTACCACCTAATTCACACATTTTGTTTGCCCATCTATTTGAGGATGATTTCCACTTGAGAGTTTTAAAATCACTTGTATAGCCTTTGCAAAGCTTTCCAAAATCCACTAATGAACTTTGAATCTTGATCACTAATGATATCCTCAGCAAACTAAAATTAGGAAGAAACCTTCTTTAAATAGACTGTAGCCAAGTTTGAGATAGTAACAGTCTTTTGAAGAGTCAACAACTACACATACTTTGTCAAACTATCCACCATAACCTATATTTGCTCCTTTTACATTTATGTTCATAGAAAACAAATGATGAAGTCCATAAAAATACTACACCAATGGCTCTAAGGAATAAGTAAAGGTTGCAAAAGCCCTCTTGGCTTCTTTTATAGCACCTTTACTTGCTAACAAAGCTAGAATGATTTACAAAATTTGAGGCTATTAACTTTCATATTCCTTTAATAAAAATTACACTTAATTAACTCATACATCTTCTTCCCCCCAAAATAACAAACTTTTAAACGATTATGATAGTAAAATAAAACTTGAGTAATTAATGCATCCATCCGTGGTAAATATATATAGCCATTGTAATAAAGAATCCCATCCACCAATGAGAAAGGGCTTCCATCTAAGCCTGCAAAGAGACTTAGCATTTTGAGCCTAAGCACGCTCAACTAACTGCCTAAACTCACTAACGATATTACTTAAATGATGACAAAACCATACTTGTAATGCCGTCACATGACAAACATGAAATAAAGCATCTACCACCACATTCGATTTTCCCAAATGATGCTAAAAAAAAAACTCCCCAAACTCTATGAGTTTAACCACTTAATGAGCTTGCTTAATGTTCAACTCCTTCTATGTGAAAAGACACATAAAAGGTTTATGATTTATTATAGTTCTACCATGTCTATAAAGCATGAATAATGGAAAGTAACTCTTTATTATATATAAAATAGTGTTGCTCTACTGGATTCAAGGTTTGACTCTCATAAGCAATAGATTATCCCTTTTGCATGAGAATTCCTCCCAATATATAACCACTTCTATCACACGTTACCTTGGTTTTGATGGATCAATAATGCAAAGCACTAGAGCCTCGCTCAACAACCATTTCAATGCCACAAAACTATCTTCATGTGGCTTCTTCCATTTGAATAGCAAGTTCTTGTGCAACAACTCTATCAAAAGAATAACCACCTTTGCAAACTTATGCTAAAAACATCATGTCATACCATGTAAATCAGCCACTAAAATCAGTGTAGGCTAGTCTCCACTATAGCCACCTTCCTTGGATCTGTCTTGACACCCTTAGATATTAAAAATATGGCCTAGATATTCCACCTTTGACTTTGCGAACTTATATTTGATCTTCTTTGCATAAAATTTTCTGTCATATACTAATAAAAGAACTTTGTGCAAATGCACCTTATACTCTTCTATATTCTTGTAAAAAACAAAAATATCAAGAAAATCTCCATAAACTCATGAAGATAATGCCCAAATACCTCTGTCATCAACCAAGTAAATATGGTTGAGGCATTCGTCAAACCAAATGGCATAATTGTAAACTCAAAATACCCAAAGCTTGTGTTGAATACTGTCTTGGAAATAGATATATCATCTATTGCAATCTAATGATATCCACAATCTTGGTAAACACTCATGCTTTACCAAACTTATCTAAAATATCATCCACACATGGCATCAACATCTTATCCTTCACTATCTTTTTGTTCAAGGCACAATAGTTAATACATATCCACATTGAACAATCTTTCTTTTTCACGAGCAAGAACAAAGCACTAAATGGAAACTTACTTGGGTAACTCTTTAATTTGTTGTTGAACTTGTTGCTCCTCCACATAACTCAATTAAAATGGACGCTAATAAATTGGCCATGTCCTTTGCTCCAATGTAATCCCATACTCTACACCTCGTAATGGAGGCAATCCATGAGGAAATTCAAATGGAAAAAGATTAAAAAACTCTACAAGTATAACCCATACTGCTATCTCTCCCCCACATATGTCTTGGTCCCCCAAGTCAAATAAATAACAACTCAAAAGTGTTTATCTATTACAACAAGCCCACTTCAAAGATATAGAGAGCATAACAACTGGAGGCTAAACTCCCTCTCTAAACCACACATCTTAAATGCCACTATATTCTAGCGAGATATGTTTAATACTCCATTTAATCTTTAGATCCACTTTCACCAACCATGGCATCCCAAGAATGAGATCCACACGATGGATATCCATGAGATAAAAAGTCTCCACATGTATGATTTTGCTAATTAACACTTCCAACCCCTCTACACAAGCATCAAAATGCTGAGCAAAGGTAATTACACCTTCTATTGTGTATAGAAAAACTCTTTGTATCACCAGACTATGCTCCTCAATAAACTTTGCCGAAATAAAGTTGTTATCGCTCCCACTATCCAATAAAATCCATATTGGACCGCCACAGAACACACCCTCCAGCATTAAAGTTGATGCACGAGTGTCTTTGAGCTCCATTTTATTCCACATACAATTAAGTTGACAAGCAACGATCAAAAGCTTTTTCCTTCAATCGAAATTATTGTCCACATCATCCTCACACTGCAAAATTTACAAATTTTTAGTATCTAACTTACTATCAGTAAAAGATTGGCCATTCGTTTTGCCCTATTGCTTTTTCTTTAACTGTAGACAATCAGCCCTATAGTGTTTAAACTTGCTACAACGATGACAACCTTTTCTATAATTTTTCACAAAGAATTACTTCTTTGACCCCTTTGCATCCGAAGTAGCCACCACAAACTTTAACCTGTGATGCTTGTTCCCATCCTTGTATCCACGGCGATCATCATGATAATTCTCAATAAAAAGACTCCTTGAACACTTGTGAGACTTGCCGCATCAAAAAGCTTCTCCAAACTCTTTGTAGGTTGAGAATGATGCAAGTGTTGCTGCATGCTCTCACTATAAAGACCATCAATAAAGTAAGTCTTGTTTTAATTTGAATTCTTTGTTGGAAGACAACTAATCAAGTGAGTAATCTTCTCAATATAGTTCCTGAGCATTATTTTCCCTTGCTAGAAATGTTAAAGTTTTGTGCAAACAATCTCTATATCATAGTGAGGGCCAAAATGTAAGAAGAAAGCAGCCTCAAACTTATCCATAGTAGATGCTGATGGTTTCTTATCCATAACATGAGACTCCTCAAGCCAATTCCACCACTGAGACCTGCATCATGCAAAACCATTAAAATACCCATTAAAACTTTTACATTTGGAGTTTCTCTAACAGCCAAGAACTTCTTTACATTGGCTAGCTAAGCTAGATATTAGTCTACACCACCATCACTGGAAAAGGTTGGAATCCTGAATCAATCTAATAAGGAAGTCTTACTTAGAGCATTATCACATTTAGTTTCGAATGCCTTAACATTATCATGAATGTGACTGTGGGTATTGAAAGTTACTTGTCGGGTAGTTCTTTTAGATATTTTTTCCTTACTGCCACTATAGCAGGAGGTCAGTATTGCTAGACCCTTTATCAGTCCCTCTTGTTCAAGTGTTAGTAAACTTGATTTAGCATCTATACTTGGCCAAACGAGCATAAGGAAAAAATTCCTAAATGTCTTTGGCTTGTTAGTTCTTATTTGTTCTGTCCTACATTGACTTGACAAAAACCCCCACAATATTAAGATTGGTCCATGAATATTTGCTAAATGATAATTTACTGTGTCTACACCCTTCATACCCTTTATGTTAATCCTATTTAGTCCCAATTACTATTTATGGAATTGCTAATTTAGCATATCTATGGAATGTAGAGATTATACTATACACAATGGTGTTAGTCTCATGTCCAACTTCACAATCTAATGTCATTCCATAATTAGTAAGTTTCAAATTTGTCCGATAGACTAACTCCTAGTACTAAGGATGACTAGGTGAAAGCCCAAAACATGCATTCCTCAAGGGGAAGGCATATTAGGGGTTTTAATGTATAGTTGGGATAGTGGGTAGGTCAGAAATGGCTAACCAATCTAAGGTATAGTCCAACTCTTGCTTGTGTGCCTATCTTGTTTTACATCCAGCTTAAATCTAAGCCCAAGTTCCACACCATATTAATTGGTGGAGTACCCATATCCTTGCGTTAGGCTACCAATATGCTAAAATAGCATTAGACTTTGTTTGGCTCCATTTTTTTATGTTAATCATGGCATTAGGATGTTGGATGCTCTAAGACTTTTCCAAATTACTCCATGCTCTTGGTCCTTCACTCCTTAGGCTGTATGATTGAGAGTTGCACTGTATTCTAATACCTTCGCTCCTTGGCTCTGTAGTTAGGAGTTTGGCTTTATTCTTTTATTCAATGGTCTAAGGCCCTAAACTTGAGTTTTGCTCTGCTATCCTTAGATATGAAGGGTTTAGGTCCCACTTTGTGGTCATCTTATGGTAAATCACCATAAGATAAAGGTGAAAACCACATATGCTACATTTAGTATCAAAGACAACACGTTTATGCATAATATCCATTATGCCATCTTGCACCTTTTGTTAATTTTGATTAAAAGCTTACAACTTATGAATAACATTTTGAATGGTCCAAACCTCCATAACTCCGTTGGCACCATCATTGCCATCACTATTGACAATAGGATTTCAGCATTCACCTTTGTCAACCATCACAACCAACTCCTCTAATACTAATGTTATTATCCAACTTAAAAAGATAGTCTCCCTAAACTATGTTATGCCTCTTTTTGAAGTTTTTCACCACCCAACCACCCCCAATCTACCTCGAAAGCTCCACCACACATGAGCTTTAGGGTAAATTGAATTCCTTACCCTAACATGTCTTAATATTAAGCTTCCCTTTGACCTACATTGACCATGTGGTCAAAAGAAAGGCCTAAGCTCTTAAGAAGGGGTGAGGACTAATGAATTTTATAATACTTAAATAAGACACCACTCCACTTAAGGCAATAAACTCTAAGTGACCAAGCACCTCTCAAACATCTCAAGCAAGAGCTTTCTACAATACCAAAGGTGGCTAGTTTGAGCATAGAGAGACAACATTGCAGTCCATGAGGCTGTGTCCTTCCATAACATGTCGTTGAACACTTCTCTTGCTTCCAGTAGATGTCTATTTTGAGCATAAGTTAAAAACATCACATTCCAACACACATCTCTGTTTTATGGAGAGATTCTTTCAAACAAGCCCTTAGCATCTTCCACTTGCATTTTGGCCAAAGTTGGGAACCATGGCCGTTGAAGAGACTGAATCTTGAAATGACATTGTGTCAAAAAGCTGCTTAGCCTCTTCAAACTTGCCGCTTTTGGAGAAAGTCGAGATCATTACAGTGCTAGACACAACATCCCACTCTGGCATTTCGTACTGGAAGATCTACTTATCATCCCTTTCTGGGCCTCTATTGAGAGTATTGTATTTCAGGAAATCCCTTCTTGTTTCCTCCAAGTGCCCGTTTTATGCATTTGCTGACAAAAGAGCATTCCACGACATTGTACTATGCTGTGGCATCTTTACAAAAAGTTCTCTAAATTCCGACAGGTACTTATTTTGTGCAAGAGCTGGCAGCATTGCATTTGCCGCCTCTATTGTCTTTTGTGGCATCATTTCAAAGATATTCCTTGCTTCATCCAGATGCCAATTTTGGGCACAAGCACACAATACAATTGTCCATGAAATCAAATCGCGTTTCGGCTCAAGCCATTGTTCGTTCGGGCATAGCTTCAAAGATTATCACCGCGTTTTGCAGATCTCCGAGATGGGCACATGCAGAGAGCATTGCATTCCACGTTTCTTTAACAGCTTGTACGTCTTTGACTTGTAAAAATCCGTCCAGCAAGCACGTCCATGACACCAAGTTTCTAAACGGCATCTGATCAAAAGTTTGCTTGGCTTCGGAAAAGTTTCCTCTCTTCACATACGCAGTGAGCACTGCTGTCCACGATACGAGATCCCATTCCGGCATGAGATCAACAAAAATTCTCGCCATTTCAACAGTCCCGTTCTGCACATACGCGTTGAACATGGCCGTCCAAGAGATTAGATCTCGTAGTGGCATCGTGTGAAACATTCTCTTGGCAAGAACAAGGTGCCCTATTTGGGCATATGCACAAGCATAGTGTTCCAAGCAACTAATGTTTGCCTTGGCATTCTATCGAACAAAATGTTAGCCTTTTCAAGAAATCCATGATTAACGTACACGTCAATCATAAAGTTTCAAGCCACCGTAGTTGCATCTGGCATCCTTGCAAAGGTATTTTCGGATTCCTCTAGATGCCCAGAACGGGCATATGTGCTTAACATTGCAACCCAAGAAACAGTAGTTCTCTGAGGCATCGAATCAAAGAATCCCTTTGCATTCTCAAAGCTGCCATACTTCGAGTAAGCATTCATCATGAAATCCCAAGAGTAGACATCCCTATGGTATCAAAAACTCGTTTGGCGTGCAATGAGCTTCCACACCTCGTGTACATTGCGATGAGCTTGTTGCACAGGAAAACATCATCAGTTTTGGCACTGTTACTGGCATGCAGATCCTCAGCCAAAGCCAAGCTCTTGCAAGATTGAATGAGTTCTAGGCACTGGACTCTGTCCATAGTCTTCCAAGGATTTTCATTCCATGGCAATTCCTTGCATTTGCCATTGTCGCTCGAATCCTTTCATTTTAACGATGTTAAGATGCTTGCAAGTGCCTCTACAAGCTCATATGGAGTGGAAAAGAAGGGGCTGTGATCAGATGCAAGCTCTAGAACACCGTCGGGGGGATTGTTTTCCACGAGATAGTCTTGCATTGCCGCGGGTATCACTCTGTCATGCATCCCTTTGATGTAATAACGAGGAACACTTCCATACTTCTCTTTGGTGTACTCCACCGCGATTTCAGAGGGTGGCAACAAAGGATTTGGTTTGAGAAGAAGATTTGCTAGCTCCACGTCCTGTTTGAAGTCCAGTTTTAGTAGCGGGTCTAAACGTTTTGCAGGATTTCACCTCGGAAGAACAAAGATGGTAAAGCACAGGCTGGCGATGCTCCGGTTTGAGTCTTGACGAGGTTGGAACTTCCGAGCCCTTGGTGTAGAACCTATCTACAATTTCTGAGAAACCAGACATCACCGCCTGCCAGATTTACATGATAGAAATCGAACACTTCATGAGATCCAAGCGACGGGAGGAACTGGCAAAGTTTCACCTTGTCTCGGACCTCTATAGCTTTGGGACCCGAAGGGAGCATCGATGCCACCACGAAGATTGCCGCTGCACACTTCGTGGGATACTTCTCCATGACATAAGTGACGACAATCCCTCCAAGGCTGTGACCCACGAGCACGATCTAGAAGAAAAAAATGCCAAAAACAACACGACATCCTCTTATAGTATACCTTGTTTCCTTGAGGAAGGGACTCGATGAGCTCGACGAGAGGCTGCGAGTAACGAGCCAAGGTTCTCACCTCGTTGGGATCAACGGTGCTGATCCCGGCGCTGGAGAGATCCACGGCCAGGGCCGCGTGGCCCGCTTGACGGAGACGAGGCAAGACCTTGTACCAACACCATGCGCCATGCCCTGCGCCGTGCACAAACACGAATTTCGCCATAGCCAAGAATATTCCAGTCGCACGCGTTTTATTGTCTCGACTCTCGAGCTGCAAGGCTTGGATTCGAGTGATATCAAAAGCTTCTGGATGTCAGGAATGGTCAATTCTCAACCTGCTAGCATTATGTGGGAACTTCGAAAAAAGCGTACTTTTCTACCAGGAAGATGCTGTCACGGTGCATCTATAGTAGCTTCCAATCAATCTCTTTGCTTGTAAATCTTGGAGAGGACAGAATAGAAGTGCTTGGAACCCTGGTGCGATTCAATTTGTGCTGATATGAGAACGCATCGAGTCTTTGCTAAACTCTAGCCACTATTTGTCCACTAGCATGGCTTTGAGGATCCTCGGCCATGATTGCTTACAAAGTTAGCTTGGAGCGACAAATGCGGCTTGCAGCCTCATCTAGCATGGTTGCAAAGAGGTGGAAGACCCCATGGATGTCTTCTGGGTCCAGAGCTTGTAATATTCTCAAGGTGACCTCTTTGGGCATATGCAAGGAGCATAGTGTTCCAAGCAGCTAATGCTTGTTTTGGTATTGTATCAAACAGAAATTTAGCCTTTTCAAGAATGCCATGATGCACGTACGCATCAATCATGCAGTTGCAAGCCACCGTATTTGCATCTGGCATCCTTGTAAAGGTATTTTGTGCTTTCTCTTGAAGCCTAGCATGGGGATAAGGTATGCTGTGTACATTGCGATGAGCTTGTTGCACAGGAAAGCATCATCCCTGTTTATTACCATGAAGATCCTCAGCCAAAACCAAGCTCTTGCATGATTGGCATTGCATTATCTTCCAAGATTATTTTCATTGTATGGTGATAGGACGGGTTCCTTGCATTTGCCATAGTCTTTCATTTTAACGATGTTGCAATGCTTGTGAGTGCCTCCACAAGCGCATCTGGAGTGGAAAAGAAGGGGCTGTGATCAGATGGAAGCTCTAGAACACCGTCAGGGGGATTGTTTTCCAGAAGATAATCTTGCATTGCCACGGGCATCAACACGTCATGAATCCCTTTGATGTAATAACGAGGAATACTTCCATACTTCTCTTTCGTGTACTCCACGGCGATTTCAGAGGGTGGCAAGAGAGGATTTGGTTTGACTAGAAGATTCCCTAGCTCCACGTCCTGTTTGAAGTCGAGTTTTAGTAGCGGATCTAAAAGTTTTGGCCGTGATTTCACCTCGGGCGAACAAAGATGGTAAAGCACAGACTGGCGATGCTCCGGTTTGAAGCTTGATGAGGTTGCAACTTCCGAGTCCTTGGTGCAGAAGCTATCTATAATTTCCAGAAAACCAGGCATCGCCGCCTGCCAAAAGAAAACTTCATGAGATTCGAGCGACGGAAGGAACTGGCAAAGTTTCACCTTCTGTCGGATCTCTATAGCTTTGGGACCCGAAGGGAGCATTTGTGCCACCACGAAGATAGCCGCTCCAATCTTCGAGGGATACTTCTCCATGGCATAAGTGACGACAATTCCTCCAAGGCTGTGACCCACGAGCACGATCTAGAACTAGAGTTTCGTAGAAAAAACAATGGATCTTATACCTTGTCTCCTTGAGGAAGGGACTCGATGAGATCGATGAGAGGCTGCGAGTAATGAGCCAAGGTTCTCACCTGGTTGGGATCAACGGTGCTGATCCCGGCGCTGGTGAGATCCACGGCCAGGGCCGCGTGGCCAGCTTGGCGGAGACAAGGCAAGACTTTGTACCAGCACCACGCGCCATGCCCGGCGCCGTGCACAAACACAAACTTCGCCATAGCCGAGAATATTCCAATCGCGAATGGACTAAAATATTCCTCGTTCAAAAATTTAATCTTTAATTAGGGAGGGCTGACTGAGTGATCGAGGAGCGAAGGCTGAAACGGTAAAACCACGAGTTTTTTTCGAGCGCGTTATTAGAGAGGACCCAGCTTCTCTGCTGCTGCTCATCGGCTGACGCTCTTTCTCACGCGCAGCTTCGCGGTATATAAACCCAAGGGACCGTGTTCCTTTAGTCATCCGTCCAACACGATCTCTAGAGCACGCTTCGCTTTGCTACTACGCACAACACAAAGATTTTAAAGTTTCGTTCATCATTTCCGGTCGATTCCGCAGCATGGCGCGCTCTTCCAGATCTCTTGCCTTTGTATCTTCGTTTGTGATTCTTCTCTGCATCAGCGGAGCGATTGGTAGGTTCTTCGGCTATTTGCTGTCGATTTGAAACGGAGGTCTTATTATCTTTTCTGCTTTCGTTTCAGCTGGAAGCAGGCTCGAGTGCGAGGATCTACCTCCTCAGGACTGCGCGTTTGCCGTGTCCACCATGGGAAACCGATGCGTTCTAGAAAAATTCATAGCTCAGGACACCAGCGCCATCTACGAGTGCCAGGTGAGACCACTTCTTTTGTTTTCTGGATTGAAACTTACAATCGATCGATTGCTCTCTTCAGACATCCAATGTCATGGCCGAGAAGCAAGAGGCCTGGATCGAATCCGATGAGTGCGTCAAGGAGTGTGGAGTGGAGAGGATGTGGGTGGGATTCTCCAGCGATGGCCTCGCCAACCGCAACTTCGTCAACAGGCTCTGCTCGCCAGTGTGCCAGAACAATTGCCCCAACATTGTCAATCTTTTTGAAAGCCTCGCTGCCGGAGAAGGTGAGATCATTCATCTAGAGTTCTCGATCAAACAGGTCTTTAACCGAAAATCTTTTGATGATAGGTGTCAATCTTGCCGAGGTTTGCAACTACGTGAGACCCAGTGCTCACAGGATCCTTGCCGATTCTCTCCTCTTCAAGAACACCCAGTTTGTTCTCCAATCTTTGGCTGGCGCGGCTGCTCCGCAAGCTGCTATTTCCGCAGAATCGATCACCTTGGCACCAGCTCCAGCTCCAAGCACCAACTAGAGGAGACATTCTCGATAGATCATGTTTATAGTTCGTCTGCGGTAGAGAGATTGATTTTTTGTTTGGAGAAGGTTCCATACGATCCCGTGCGCTGAGATTGTGGTAGAAACTCTCCAAACCGACATTGATTCTTTTCATAAATTCTAGTCAATAAACACATTCGGTCAAAAGCGAGTGAAGAAAGTGAGTCAATGAGTCAATTCGAAAGCGAGGGAAAGCGAGTGAGTCAATTCGGTGTTGTTGAGCTAGTGATTGAATTTGGGGGCAAAATAACATGCGCTCACGACTACCAACTTTCTTGTGATCATGCCACGAACTACAACTTAACGGTTTCTAGAATTTCGACTAGCTGGTGAATATTATATGAGATTTTTTAGTATCTTTGTGATGGATCTAAAGAAACGAATCACATGAAGTCCGGAGATGGCGCCGTGGCATCGGACGAGTCCAGGAAGGTGAGAGATTCCGGGGCCTCGGCACCGTGAAGAGCCTCGGGGGCCTCGGCATTGTGGAGCGAATCGATGGCCTGCTTCGTGCCCTTTGACATAGCGCTCAAGGATTCACCGATCAGCTTACGAGAGCTGGGTCGGATGAAGTTGCAAATGTGTGGAAGATGGATGTCTGTGAAGGAAAGACATTGGAACGATGATAGAATTGCAAAGCGATCGGATTACCTTCTCCGGAGGCGAGCTTGGTGAAGAGATCGACAACGTTGGGACAGTTGGCCTGGCACTGAGAAGAACACCAGCGGCTGAGGAACTCCTTGCGGATGATTCCATCGGTGGAGATCCCGACCGACATCCTCTCCAGGCCACACGCCGCCAGGCACTCGTCGGTTTCGATCCATGCCTCGGATCTCTCCGCCAAGACAGGGGACGTCTGTTACGCGGAAAAACAGGGGAGTAACGATCCATGATTTTGATCGATCAAACCTGGCACTGGTAAACAACGATCTTGCTCTCCAGGACGCGCTTCTCCAGAACGCACCGAGATCCCAAGCCCGACACCGCGAACGCGCAGTCCTCGACCGCTAGCTCCTCGCATTCCAGCGCGGCTGATACAATTCGAGAGAGAGGATTTTAGAAACCAGACGGCTGGATCGTGAAAAACGTTCACCTTGGATGGAAATCGAGAAGAGAGTGACGCAGATGACAAACAAATTCAATGTGCTAACCATGATTCTTGTGGAAAAACTTCTAGCTCTAGATTCTTGTGGAATCTCTAAGAGCCCCTGGCCAAGCTTGTGGGTTTTATAGTGCCATAGCAGGCAGAAGAGGGTATCTCCTTCCTTCGTGGCCGCTAACGGATTCCTCGTTCAGTGGTGGGCTTGGGTCCCATTCACAAGCAAACGTGCATCCATTTCCTTTATTAAATCAAGGTTTGCACTATATGTTGTAGCAGTGTATAGACTGGGATTTGAAATTTCAATGTTTTGCCGTATAATTAATAACCATGACTTTGAAGGTCAATTCCGGCCAAAGCACGAAGCATATAATTTATATGGGAAAATTTGTTGTTTGATGTTTATTATTTATTAATTATATTGATCAATTGGATTATAAACATATTTATAAATAATAAATACATTATTAATAATAAATAATAACCATTAGATGGTAGAATATTCTAAAATATCTAAGCATATTCTAAATATATTCATTATCCCCAAAATTATATATATATATATATATATATATGTATGTATCTCTCTCTCTCTCTCTCTATATATATATATATGTATTATATTATATTATATTTGAGACTATGAGTGCATGGAATATAGAAAGGGAATACAAAAAATATATATATCAATTAGTCCAAAAAACCTTAGCTTATATATATATAAATCAATCCAACAGCTACCAAAATCCCACTATGCTAATATTAGTATATAGCATTGTAATCATACACTTGGACCTCACATCATCCCCTCCTCTTGGTATAATGGAAAATCATCAAGGTTTTTTTGTAGATAGGCTAAGATCTAGAGGAATGTCAAAAGGAGGCATCAACAGATCTATAGGTGTTATTAATTGTTTCTAATCCCTTTGTACAAAGTTTTTTAACCACTACACATACACAATTTTTGAAGGATTGGCTTGGTGGACGTTATGCCAAACTTCATAAGCTTGTGGTCCAACTTGTCACAAACAATCCTTTCCACTAGCAAGAAGCCCCTTAGATAAACCACATACCGTAAGATGGGGAAAATGGACTAACACTAAATCATCCACTTTATACTCCACATATGGATAATGATGGGAGTTGTAGTGTTATTGTTGTCCTACTTGTATGTGGCCTAAGTGTTCAGCAGACTTTGCTCAAACAAGTGGAAGAATGCTCATCAAATATTGACTTAGCATCGGCAACTCATGGTAATTGCAAAAGTAAACCTAGCTCTATTTGTAATATTGAATCATGACCATATAGGAGTTTATATGGCAAAGCATTAATAGAACTCTACACCCCTGTGACATATGCATACCGAAGAGACGGCAAATAACCATCCCAATCTGAATGCTGAAAGTTTATTTACTTTGCAATCATTTCTTTGAATGTCCAAACGAGCCATTCCACTAAACTGTCTGACTGTGGATGATAAACACTTGTAAAAGTGTAGCGTATCCCCAACTAAAATATCAAAACATGAAATGCCTTAGCCATAAATGCAGGACCATTATCCAAAAGAATTTGCTCCAGACAAAAATGCTGAAACACTATTCGATTGAGGAGAAAGTATCCAACAGTAGTTCCAGAAGTGCTAGCAAAAGAACTAACTTCCACCCAACAAATTAAATAATCAAAAGCAATAATAATATATTCATTACCAATAGTCAATCGTGGAAAAGGCTCTATAAGATAAAATGCCACCAGCTTAAATTGACAGGAAACTGCAATTGACTCCAACTATTCTTCTACGGCACGAGGGGGAGTATTACGAGCTTAGCACTAAACGCAACAACATACATACCAAATAATATCATATCGCATCTCTAGCAAATAGAAAGACTTGTACAACTTTTTGGTCACATGACGATATCCCATATGCCCATCTAGAATCTAAGAATCATGGTAGGCATGGAGAAATCGCGAAATAAAGACGAAAGGCACCACCAGCCATAAAGGATCATCAAGAACTATCCCCACAAAATAAAGAAGGCCGTTTTTAAAGCAATATTAAGAATGTAAATGCCAGAATGGTAAGTCATCAGTAAGTGATACAGGATTCTCAAACCCATCTCAAAGCCTTCGAATCTATGACTCCAACTTTTGAGCCTCACGAACCTCATCAAGAGAAGGTAAATCTTGCTCTACACCTTGTGAACACTGAATGTCAAGTACAGCAACTGCCGACAGCACAGAATCTTTATTTTGAAAATCCATAGATGCCGGAACAATAGGCTCTGTCGTGGAGTAGTTCACTTCCGCTAGTTGTAATGTATAGCTTATATATGTAATGGGATGGCACTGACTAAGCACACTTGAGCTCTTTTACATCAACACACCTCCAAAACTAATATTAGAAGCATCCACATGCAAAATGAAAGGTCGAGTGTAGTCAAGATATGCTAAAACCGGAGGAGTTGTTAATAGCTCTTTGAGATCCATGAACACCTGCTCACAATCCAAAGACCAAATGAAAGATGATGTTGATGACTTCAACAACACTTGTAATAGTGCAGTTCGACCAAAAAGGTGATCCATAAAATGACTAAGATACTGCACCTTGCCCAAGAAGCACTGCACATCATTCACACACTTCGGAGTAGGGAACTTTAGAATAGCCACAAATTTATCAAGATCAACTTCCAAACCCTCACAAAAAATATAGTACCCAAAATAAGTCGTGTCTTTGGACCCAAGCACTTTGACTACTTCAACTTTAAACCAACTTTTCGTAGTCAATCCAACACTTTACAAATATCACGAATATGTTCCTTCTATGTCCCCTCCGAATGGATCAAAATATTATCAATGAAATTAGTAGTCACCTTTGGTATATCGCAAAAAACCCATCCATCATCCACTAAAAAGTTGTTGAATCATTGTTTAAACCAAACGGCATCACCAAAAACTTGTACAAACCAAACAGTGTATGAAAAGCAATCTTAGGAATATCTTCTTTGGCCATCAATACTTGCCAGTACCCAAAAGCAAGATTTAACTTAGTGAACCAATGACTTCTTTCCAGATGATCTAAGTGATCAATAGTGTGAGGAAGAGGGTACACATCTGTGATCATTATTTTTTTTAGTGGATGATAGTCGATGCAAAAACAAATACTCCCATCAAGCTTTGTCACAAGATGAGGTTCACATACCCAAGGACTTTGCAATTTTCAAATAACACCATTTTCCAACATCTCCTTAACATTTGCATATAAAATCTTGATCTCTTTGGGTGACCGATGACGAATAAGAACCTTGATTGGATGAGCATCTTCGGTTGGAATCGGATGACGTGTACCAATCTTGGCCCCAAACAATAGGTGAAATTCAAAGAAATTGGCATACTCCTTCATGAGCTGGTCAACCACTGCAATACAAAGATTGTTGGAAGGATTGAAAAAGGGAAAAGCAAAACAAAATGGAAACATAGGAGGAAATAGTGGGGAAACAAAAATAATCGAACCAAAACTAGAAGCAAAGGGAGGAAATAGTGGGGAGACAAAAATAATCGAACCAAAACTAGAAGCAAAGGGATGAAAAGGTATGGAAGTGAGAGGAATAAATGAAATATAAGGAAGTATGAAATAAAGGGGAGAAACCTCAAAGTCACACTTGGCATGATTGCACTACAACTAATTTATACTAAGGATGAGGTCAAAAGCTTGACTTGGCACCACTTGCAATAGTTGCAACCCAAGTTCGAGATTGCCCACATGCACAACTAGGCCCACCTCATCCCATACACATATGTGTACAGCTATTGCTATAAAGAATGAAAACTAACTCTACTGTATGACGCAAGTGTAGACGGCAACGTGTGGCAACAAGTCGAGCCATAAAAGATAAACTCGAACGTTTATCAACCAACACGAAGTGAATAATAGGAGACCTCTTATTACAAAAATGAGCTTGGAAAGTAAACATTATATGAATTGGTGCCGAGTGAACCCCTTGATGATACTCCCGAAAGAAAGATGAAGGAGTCACTGACTTATTCGTGCAA